TCTCACGTTCTCATACTTACAAGCGTCGGAAGGCATCCAATATCTAATTTATAGCCCGAATTAGGGGTTTATCAACCCCTGATTCGGGCTATAAACCATCTAGTAGATAGCTTCCGACGCTTGTAAGTATAATCACGTAATTAGATTGATTTTTAGGTCACGTGACTTAGTAAAACCACGCGCCAGGATTTTTACCAACCCTCTCCGCTTTTAATATTAGTCATACTTTCGGAAGGGTCACGTGACTACTCTACTCTAATTAGCTAGTTAGTAGAGGTCACGTGCCGGTGCCGATTTAGACCAATCAGAATAGGTCCTCACTAGCGCGATTTTGTTAGCCAATCGTATCAGACCTCTTAGTGGGGCTATAGGTCGGGGTACGAACACATAAGTTACTTCGCTACACTCAGTAATAATTATACTAATATAGCTTCGGTACTAGTTATATCGGTTCGGTATTAGTAAAGTTATTAGGGTAGCTAGAGGATATAGTATCTTATTACCCGACTAATACTTTAAAAAGAAAAAAGGTTATAAAAGAAGAGAAGAGCCTTTAAGATAATATTATACGCGAGAATAGAAAAGCTTTAGAAGGACTTAGAAACTTTTATTCAACTTAGCTACGTGGTATTAAGAATCTTAAAGGCTAAAGAGAAAAAGAAAAGAGAAGAGGCTATAGTCTATCCTAAGTTTTAAGATAGTACGTATAGTATACATGGTAGGCGTAGCTCACGCCCTATATCCTCCTATATCCTATCCTTATCCTAAGTCAGTCCTACTATACTTATAATAATAATAATATTCCTTTATATTATCCGAGCTACGACTATAGATAGGATAGCGAGGTCTACTATACTAATAAAGAAGACGCTATTATAGAATCGGATATAAGTTAGGACTATTATAATAGTAGAATAATAAGTAGGATTAAATAAAGGTAAAATATAGCTAAACCGCGATTAGTATATATATAACTATAAGAACTTATCTTAATTAGGACTTCTTATAGTATCCTATAGTATTAGTATATATATAGTTATAATTTTATATTTAGTTAATTAAGGGAGCTATAAGCTTTGTATTTTAGAATTTATACTATTAAATAAAGCTTTAGCTAATAAGATCTATCTTAGCTCTACTATCGAGGTCTATATAGGTATAGAGGATATCCCGGACTATAATATCGATATTAAAGTATATTTAAGTCCTTATAAGATTCGGAGATAGAGAGGAAGGATCTACTCTACCTTAGTAACATTATACTAGCCCTTATACTTAGGACTATTATAGGGCTTCCGATCCTTAGACTCTTTTATAGGATTATAAGAGTCTCGGGAGATAGCTAGCTAGTTATCGGTACCCTTTTATTTCTTAGGGCCTAGGAACTAAATTTCCTAGTAGTAGTAGGCTATATCAATTATCTTATTCTAGGTCTCTAGGAGCTTAATCTAGTATAGTCGAATAATATACTATAGATTATATTATAGCTTCGCGAAGTATAAAAGGGAGTACTCCTTCTTAAGGGCTTATAGGAAGTATTACTCTAGGATATCTAATTATATATAGAACTCCCTCGGATCCTTATTATAATATTAGTATATCCTTTTAAGCTAAGCTATAATCTTAGATTCTAGGCTAGCGGTATTTTTAATAAGTATAAGAGTCTACTACTTAAAGTATCCCTAATCTTCTTCGATTAGCTAAGAATAAGTAGCTTCCTTCTCTTTATAGTATTAGTACTATTACTAATAGTAGATTGGAATCACCCGTGCCGTTGCTTACATGGTATACCATTAGACCAAAAGGTCTATGCCAAACCATTCGATAGAATAGTTCGTCATGTAACAGTATATATAGTCAGATAGTGATCCCGCATCCGCATTTCGATGCGCCTATGCCTCTGGGATCATAAGATAGTATCTATATAAGGGTCTTAATAATCTTACGCTTCTCTATATAGTATTTCCTCGGGGCTCTCTCGAATTACTAATAGAGATCGAGTAGCTACTCCTAACGCTTCTAGAGATTAAACTCTTTTATAAATAGAGGGATACTCGCGAGTTTAATTTCCTTTTTCCTAACTATATCTATATTAAGATAATCGGGAGATATATAGCGCCGAATAGGAAGAGGTTTCTTAAGTCCTTTATCTCTTAATAATACTTAGAGGATAGCTAGCTATTAATATAGATTAGCTAGCTATTCTAGCTTATTAATAGTTTCCTAGGTTATAGTAAGATAGATATTAAGGGATAGAGGATCTTAAGCTTTCTAACTAATAAGAGGAGTCTAAGTCCTCTAGGGGATATTTAAGGTTCTTATAGTTAGGATTAAAGAGACTAGTAGGAGGTCTTCGATATTCTTAGGTTCTAAGTCGAATACTTCCTAGACTTATAGTTCCTAGGGTTCGTCGGTATAACTATAGATTTATAGCGCTATCTCTTATAGTAATAATAGAGAGAAGAATTAGAACTATTAAGGTAGCTACTTTAGTAAGATAGCTAGACTTAATTATTAGGGAAGAGATAGCTCGTAGTAGTTAGATTAGTATAAAGACTAATTCTTAGGGATTTCTACTAGTTCCTTTTCTAGTATCTATCTTATAGTCCTCTCCCTCTATACTCTTAAGGGGATTACTCTTAACTCCCTCTTCTATCGATCGATTAATCGATCGATTAGCTACCTAAAGAGGTAGGACAGAGCTACTATAGAGGTTACGATCCTTCGAGTTAGAATATATAGGATAATAGGGATCCGAGGCTAGGTAGAGGGGGCCTAGGAGCCTAGCTCCCTAGAAACTATAGGAGGGCCTAACGCCTAACTATTATATAGCTAGACCGGGATCGTAGGTTACGGATTATCTAATGATTACTAGGCTATAGATTACCTAATAGGCTACTTTAATAAAGGGAGTCCCCTTATAGGTTAGGGTACCTAAGGTAGCTATAGGCCCGTAATTATATAGTCGGGATTAAAGAGGCTAGTAAAAGATCTTCGATATCCTTAGATTCTAAGTTAAATACTTCCTAGACTTATAGTTCCTAGGATTTATCGGTATAACTATAGATTTATAGCGCTATCTCTTATAGTAATAATAGAGAGAAGAATTAGAACTATTAAGATAGCTACTTTAGTAAGATAGCTAGACTTAATTATTAGGAAAGAGATAGCTTATAGTAGTTAGATTAGTATAAAGACTAATTCTTAGGAATCTCTACTAGTCCCTTCTCTAGTATCTATCTTATAGTCCTCTCCCTCTATACTCTCGAGGGGATTACTCTTAACTCCCTCTTCTATTAATCGATCGATTAATCGGCTACCTAAAGAGGTAGGATAGAGCTACTAAGGAGATTACGATCCTTCGGGTTAGAATATATAGGATAATAGGAGAGTCCGAGACTAGGTAGGAGGGGCCTAGGAGCCTAGCTTCCTAGAAGCTATAGGAGGGCCTTACTTATTATATAGCTAGTCCTAGATCGTAGATTACGGATTACCTAATAATTACTAAACTACGGATTACCTAACAGGGTACTTTAATAAAGGGAGTCCCCTTATACTTCTAGTAGAAACTAGTAATTACTAAAATTTACCGGTAAGATCGAGGAATTACTCTATTACTCTATACTACTTATAATTAATAGTATACTATCTATTAATATCGTTTAAAGAATAGAGTTAAAAGATATTTTGAAGAAATTCTATTATTAGGAGAATCTAAATTAAACTAGTATTAACTAGGTGTTAATAGAAGAAACTAGTAAATTATAATAAAAGCTAGATATATCTAGTATTTATAATTTACTAGTAGTACTTAGTTATATATAGGGGTAAAAGAGAGAAACTAGTAGTAACCGGTAAAAACTAGTAATAAATAGTTATAAGTAGAAGAGTCTTCTAGGCTATAAGCGATTATTCGCTAAGAATTATTCTTATTAAAAATATAAAAGCATTCTTAGGAATTATTCGATCTACTAGATTAAAATAAAAGCTAATAGTAGTAACTAGTAATCTAGAGTTATCTAGTAAGAACTAGTAGAAACTAGTAATTTTTAGTAATTACCGGTCCTTTATTTATCTATAGTAGTAATCCTACTTTTTTTAGTTATATATAGGAGCTCTAGATAATATTAGTCTTTCTACTTAGAGTAGTACTTAGTAAATATAAATTATATATCAAGACTAAAAATATTTAGATATTATAAGTAACTTTAACGGATATTTATAGCTTTCTCGGGATAAAGGGATATATTTATAATAATTAAGAAGGATTTAATAATATTTAAAGCTACTAGTTATATATAGTAATAAATAGAAATTTCTAGGATATTTCGAAATCTACTAGAAAATATAGAAGTAACTAAATTTTCTAGGACCTTTTAGTAAAAGTTAGTAATATTTAGGAAGATCTAGGTTTTACTAATAAATATTAAATATCTTAGATACTTCTAGATCTATCTACTAAGTTCTGAAATAAAGTAGATCCCTTTTAGTAAAAACTAGTTTTATATAAATCCAGAATAATCTAAATAGATTCTTATAGCGCTTCTGGTTTTATCTAGATTTTACTAGGTCCGTTTAGCTTTTTACGGAAAATACTAATTATAAATTACGAGCTTATAGGGGTCTTAATTTCTGCTAAGATTCGCTAAATTCTATACTTAACTAGTAATTACTATTTTCTTCTAGTTTTAAAGCTTATAGGGGCGTAGTAATCGTACGGTCCTCTTCCTTCGAGCTCGTTATCTTCAGGGCCCACTTAAAAAAGTCCTAAAAAGGTCTAGTTTACCGTTCCCTTCCGTTCCCTACCGGTAGTGAAAATTTACTCGTAGGGTCGACGTAAACCCCTATGACCCTACAACCTATATACTCGAAAACACACGGTAGCCAGGGACTACATCGGTAATATTACCGGAAAATTAATGTTAGGCGAAGCAAGGCAGAAATGACAAAAGTAGAACGCCATAGAGACCCCTGAAGTATATCAAGCGATTCGGGCTTCATCAATAAAGTTTTGCCAGCAGCGAGGACCGTTTCGAGACCCGACGAAATTCATTTACAGCTGGACTGAACGGTTTGATCTCACTGATGGAATCTTCAATGTCCATTTGGCCAAGGCCTTGGTAGGCTGTCGTCCGCGGCGACCCAAATGGACCTTGATTATCGTTCTCGGCGTGAATGTAGTAATGGGCATCTGCTTCTTCCATGCTAATGTGCCATCTCTCCTTCATCTGCGGCCCAACAGGCCCACCTCCACATGCGCCGTGGATCTGGGAGGATGGAGGGCTATTGACTGCAATTGCAAAGAGATTCTGTGGCTCCGTGAAGTCTGTGATTTGATGACCGCGTGCCTCGATGATGACGAATGCAAGGCAAATGAACGACGTGAGAAATGCAAATATAAGAATGACGTAAAATACGCCTTGCCAACGCTTGGTACCACCGGAAGCATAGCCAACTGCCTGGAGGGAGGCTTGAAAGCTTTGTCTCTGAGGTGTGGGCAAAATGGTCTGATTGTATTCATAGTAATGCACAAATGGAGAGTCTTGCGACGACAGAATCAATGTGCTGCCAGCCATGACAGCAAGCGCTTCTCCCACAGTCGGCAGCGACGAATTGAGCGAGTAGGTCTTCGTCGCCGGGTCGTATGCCGGCATCAGTTGCATGAGTAGGCGCTCATTGCTCGCTTGTCCATCGGTGATTCCAGAGCCCAGACTGAGGGCGCTGGCCCAGACGTCGGCCACATTTTTCCAATCTGGCTGCCATGTGCCTTCAACAAAGTCGTTGTGGAATCGATCGTATCTTAGAAAGTCGGTACCGTTCTCGCAATTAGTGCTCAAAGAGGCACCACTAGAGGCAGCGGTGTACTGAGTGGAACAAACACCCGTGAGTTTCGCGCGCATACCGCACATCACATACTGCGGATGAGACACGCTCGTGTGGCCCACAAGGTAAATGGAACTCGTTGGCCAGCGTCCCGTTGTGTTCAAGATCGTGTTGTACGCCATTGGTAGTTTACCAAAAATAGGAGGCTGTTGATTGTATTTTTCGCCAAAGCCAAAGATGTCGTCGACAACGGTCTTGTTCCACAAAGAAGGAGATACAGGTATGTCATTCGGTGGCGAGAAGCTCCACGTGCTGGCATCGAAATTGCTGTTAGGCCACTGGTTATAGACCAGTGGTGCCAACTCCGTCTCATTCATACCCACACAGAGCACATTCACTGCGGGCGATGGTACAGAGGCTTTCAGAACGTATTTGCCTTCACCCGAGGCATCTTGCGGCTGGCTGATCTTATTGTCTGCATCCATTGCTGCGATGGGAATCCCCCCGTGTGGCATCGCCATGGTGATGTTATTGATCATGCGGCCAAAGGCTTTCGACTGCACCGCCATGTCTTGTACTTCGATCCAACTTCCGCTTAGAGTGGTATTGTCCCACATCGAGCCTGTGGGCTTGGGTCGGTCTGTTTGGCGAGTTGATGCCGAGCCGCCTCTTTGCTGCAAATTTGCCCATGAACTGATCCACTGCTCATAATTATGGTATGACTGTCCCGCGTGAAGGATCTGAAGACAGGTCTCATTATAGCTGGCCTCGTCCATGGAGCGTGGGATTGGGCTTTGGCATTTCAGCGCAAGGTAACGAACGTTGGCAAAGCTCGTCTGGATTTTGCCAGATAGCCTGGTGTCTGTTACCGGTCCCAGTATCAGCTTTGGCGAGACTATCTCTTGTTAGCAAACATGAATGAATGCCCTGTGTGGTTCGCAGGCCTTCCAACTTACCAAGAGCTTCGGCCGCCGTGGTGTACATCATTGCCACGAATGTCGCAACCAGCGCGATCGCTCCCAAGAAAGTCAGAGCTGAATATCGAAGAGTCTCCCAATGCACGAGCATCGAACCCGGCTGCATGATCCATGCTCGCATATTCATGTCTGAGATGCTGATTCCTCGCGAATCTTTCATCAGTGCTCGGCGACTCAGCACTTGCCCGAGAAAGGCCACGCATATTGTGACGTATGCCAGCTCGATCGTCTTTGCAAATAATGCGCATAGCAGATTGGCCGTGGAGGGGGCGAGAGAGCCTCGGCTGCCTATGCTATCCCACCTTGGTTTTCGAATCGCGATCACGAGATAGATTCCCGAGAAGACCGTGGCGTAGAGTGCGAGTACGAAGATTGTCACTGGAATCCACGAGAAGCGGCTTTGTAACACGGTGGCCCGAGTCGGACAATTTCTTGGTGACTGAGGGCATAGTGTCGCAGCCGGGGAGTCAAACAGCGTTGGCGAACATTCTTCGGCGGTAGCGATGCTGGAGGGTTGTTCCTTGGAGACGAGCGCTGTCTCTTCGTGACGATGAAGCGCTTCATCTGGCGTCTCGGTTATACCCAATCCAACCTCGCGAAGAACTTCCTCAGAGAAGCTTCCATGATTGTCAGTCGGTGGGAGGTATGCATACTCCGTGGTGGGGGTCTCGCGACCGCCGAGCGGCTTCCATGGGCGTTGCGGGTTTGCGGTGGCCCCCTCGTCCTCAGATGACAGGAGAGAGTCCCCGAGGGAGCGTCGTGGATCCCGTGACTCACTCATGGTGCACGAGACGATGCATCAGCAGGCAGTCAATTTGGAAGCTCGAAGTGCTTCATGGACTGGCGTTTGAAAGGTAAAAGCAGAGCTTGATCTCAGCAAAGAGGTCTTGGGGCCGGTCCCTTGGCTATGGTTGTTTCTGCACGCTTGACATGTTGCGATTCGGGCCAGACGCAAAACCTGTGCTAGACAACTGGGACCTGGTATGCTGCTCTATGCTCGCATAAGGTACTCGTCCAGCCATCGCACGAGCAGCAGTGACACCACCCAATGAAGTTTGGGCTTGCCATGAGGCGAGTCAGGGTCTATTGCTTTTTGCGCAGAGCAAGTTGATAAGTGCTCTACCAGTACCTGGTGCTCTACCAGAGCATGCAGGTCAGGGTGCTTTACAGCCCAGCCGCCGGAAATGGAGGGCCTTAGGAGCACGTTCCACCGAGCTGAACACCTTCATTGAGATCGTCTCCAATCAGACCCTAGACTGGTGTGCTAATTTGGTGCTAACTCAGAGCTAATGCCATGTGTCCGTGTCATCGGCGGAGGCTGGAGTACGTTCGTTCCCAGTGGAGCGATCTGACGCGGAACGAACCATGCATGACTGCTGACTCTGGACATGGAGACCGGCAAGACAGGTCTTCTTATTACCATCGTTTCGGATTGCCAAAAGGCAAAATCTCCATTCTGTGAACACTCCCGCGCCAGCCCTTGACTGTGCAATGAGGGCATGTGGCCGGTAACCCATGTTTTCGAACTTGTTGTGAACGTTGGCCCCCAAACTAACCCCTGCAAGACTAGTGCAGTAGCGACGCAAGCCCATGTCAAAAGACCGGTCTCGACTTCCATCTATGTGAATTCGACATGGAGTCCGGGAATACTTTTCGAATTTACAGCGAGACTGATTCCTGGGCACCAGAATCAAGTGGAGACGATACGACGATTCAATTGTGATCGAGGGAAGAAGATACGACATTTCTTCTAAAGACGCTCGACGCCGGAAGGCGATGGTCTAGGAAAGCTGCGCTGGACCTTTGAGCGGTTTCTCTGTCTATGAAAGCAGTGTCAAAAGGACAGCCGATGAGTCAGGGACACTAATCCGAACTGTCTCGTGATCGACATGCACCGGTCCTTCCAATTCATGAACCGCCACCGGATTTCCCTCCAATAGATCATAGTCATATGAGACCCCGCCGAAGGTGACGCTGCCCGTTGAATCGCTACCGGGCGCAGAGAGACGCTCAACCTTTGCTTCCTTGACGTGACTCGGTAGCTTGAACCGATAGTCTTTGCTCGGACGATTTAGGGTCGCACTCTGGTTATAAGCTTGGAGATTGATAACCACCAGCTTGGACAGCTGTGTGCCATTGAAGACCGCATACGCAGATTCCCTGTCTCCCTGAAGCGGGATATTGACGATGCGAGTATCGTGACCTTTCCCAATTGCGGAAGCGACCATGATCTGGCCATAGTATGGTGGTCTCGTCTTTGGTGGATTACGCTTGCTAAGAATGGGCTGCCATGAGGTGTAGCGATAGTTGAGACCCTGGTGGAAGTGGAGACGTTTGATATTCTGAGAAAAGCGATATGAGCAGAGACGCAGGCGCAGGGAAAACGAAAAGATAGCTCACATTTGCGGCAGACCAAAGAGAGAAGTCAACCAGCCACAAGGCATCGCCAAAGACGTTTGTCTCACCGTTTCGCCCCTGATTGGCGATAGCATTGGTTTCTCCGAGAACATACGGGTGACCCAGGTATGCCAGTTCCTGGGCACGTTTGATGTGTGGCGCTACATTTTCCACAACATTTGTGTGGTTCATCAAAGTTCCTAGGAAACGTAAGCCTTCATATTAACCGTGAGCGTCTGCAGCTAAGCTTACGCTGAAGATCCCATGAGACTGGTGCCAATGGAGGCGCAAACACTCCGAAATATCTAGAAAGCATCGAGTTAGAGGCGCCTTTCCACGTTCATTCTTGACTGAATCAGCGACTTATCAAGCTCAGGTAGACTTACTGGTGGAACGAAATGTCCCTTGTAATATTTCTCGGGTCGAACCCACTCTTGAACAGTTCCTCGATTGTCCAATTTTCGCTCTTGACCATAGGAGCAAGCACCCAGCTTGGTGCCATGAAACCCGGATTTGTACCAGGGCAGCTCATCTTGACAGCATTCATGATGGCTGCCGTCTTCGAGTTCCACTCATCGATATAGCTCTGCAATGTATAATTCGCAGGACGATACTTGAAAGCTTCCATGTTGAACTCGTTGCCGAGCTCGTATGAGTTCAGTTTTGATCCCATAGAGCGACAAGCCGCCACGGCTGCGTCTGTGAGCTGTTGCATGGAGTTGTTCTGCTTCATGTTCAGGCCATGGATGTATTGAATATCCCCGAGAGTCTCATACGACTCGAAGAATGCAGGGCCATAGTGTATCTGACTGGGTTGGTCATCGTTCGGATGTGTGAAAATGAGCTGGACACCTTCTTCCTGGTTTGGATAGAAGATCGAATTGTCTCTGAGATCAAAACGTCATCAGTGAATCAAATTCGCAGGTAAGTTTCTTGTTTCCTCAAAACTCACTGGGAAGTACCCCCAACGCGCACTTTTGGGTAGACCCCTGTGATATTCTTGAAGTTCTGCAACAAGTTTCGTGAGAAGAGATTTGGTGACGACTTATTGCCGGCATAATCTGGGAAGAAGGCAAATTCCAGAGAAAAAGACTGCAAATCTCTCGAGACCGGCTCACTGTCTTCTGGCAGCGAAGGGACTGCCACCAGTCTGTTGGAGCACGTGCCCACGCCGAAAAATAGGCAAGTCGCGGCTAGAACAATATGAGAGGATTGCATCTTGTCAGCGCAGACTGAGACGGGAACGCTTCTGAGACTGCGATTGATGATTCTTTACCTCCGCTAAAGCTTCATTTATACCTGCTGTTTCACGGCTAGTTCATCGATCCCGGCAAATGCTTTTGAACGCTCACGAAGCTCAACAGTTTCATCTCTCCACAGGGCGACAGCCACATAACTTCATCTAGCAAATGAACGACGACTTATTTGGCTCAAAGGTACGAAAAGATCACTTTTCAATAGCCGTCGGGGATCAAAACTCGTGGCCGACGGCTACCAAGCCTTCAACTTCAGAGTTCCCCATATTCGCCCCGGACTTTTACCCCACATCACGAAAAGGTGGAGGAGAAGCCGAAAATTTGATCGAAATGCCGAAACGAATACCGTTCAGTGATGGGCATTTCCAGGTACGTCCCGAAGGTCAGAAAAATACGTACTCTCAAGAACGTCAAAAGTCACGACGAGCTGTCGAAGTCTTCTTCCCTGGCCATAGAAGTGAGGGCTTCAGGATCCTGGCCATCTACTGAATAAGGACCCTGACGTCGAAGTATGTGAGGTGTTATGCTTTCACCTGTCTTCATTATCACCTCTCGCTCGGGATGTGGACCACCTTTGATCCGCAAGGCCGATAAACTTCGGAGCCAATCTGGAAGAGGGAGGTCTCATAGATGATCGTGCTATCTCTAGTCCTAATAAGGATGACGAGAATTAAGTTGGAAGCACATCAAATCCCGACTACTGTACACCTCCGTCGTAACCTGCCGTTGGGGGGGAACAGGTTTCAATTGCCTACCAACAGTTCTCCATGGAGAACGATATGGTGCTCTTAGGTATCATTGCAGCAAGGATGCCTCGGCCGTCAATTGGGAAATGGCTCATCATTCATAGTTTCTATATATTTTTGCTCACATCGTCATCTTCATGCCACCGTTGGCGCAGACCAAGCTTCCGGTGCACCACTGACCATCGGCAGTGGCCAACATACCGACAACACCGGCCACTTCGCTCGTGAAAGCTGGTCTCCGTCCGCCCATCTTCTCTTGAATCAATTGTCTTTGCTCCTCGGTCAGGCGAGACAAAGTCTCCGGATCCGTGGGATCCATCTTGCTCCCCGGCGTGTTGTCCTGGAATCCCTGAATATCACGCCAGAAATTCTCGCCAGCTGCAAAGTACATGTCTCCCACCACCGGCCCCGGATTGATCGCATTGACAGTCGCGCGATCCGCGAGCTCGCGTGCCCAAGTGCGAGTCATGGACTCCAGCGCAGCCTTGGTGCCACCGTAGATAGTCTGACCGACGAAGCCCATCTGGGACGAGACGCTGGAGATGTTGATGATGCGACCACTTCGATCGGTAGGGAGGTAAGGTGCAACGGCCTGCGTGAGAAGCAGAGGAGCTAGCACGTTGATCGTGTACATCCAGTTGAATTGTTCGACGCGGATAGGGCCGCGAACGGGGTCGTTCAAGTTGTTGTCACCCGCCACGCCGGCATTGTTGATGAGAATGTCGATCTGGAATTTGTCCGATGTTCCGGCGCTCTTCTTGGCTGCATCAAGGATGGCCTGACAGGCTTCCTCGGGTTTGCTGAGGTCGGCTTGCACGTTGTCACAACGAATACCGTGCGTCGAGGCTAGCGAGGCGCAAAGCTCCTCGGTGTGTGCACGAGAAGAGTCGGACGTGAAATTGAGGAGGAGGTTGCATCCCTTGGCAGCTAGATTGTGTGCGATGGCCTCGCCGATACCTATGAAAAACGAGCAGTCTGTCAGTCAAGGTAAGTGGATGACCGTCGGGATGTTTCTCAACCTACCCCGCGATCCGCCGGTGACGATGCCGAACTTGCCCTCCAACGGGCGACCTTGCGTGACCATATTGAAGTGAGCTGGCTAAGAGTCGAGAATTGAGATGAGAGTGGTGGAGAAGAAAAGTGTGTCCAACTTGTATTCTTGAGAGACTTTCTTGGATGTTTTGTACCTCGTGCCAGGGGTCTTTGCACACATTTAACCGACAGGCCGTCCCTCGGCCTTTTCTTTGAGGCTTTTGGAGCTCCCCCGCCGCTCCACTTGCGGATCCCAACTTGCCACTGGGGTAGAGAGATGGGGATCACCGGCTAATTACTCGAGTGCGCGTGACTTTGAATGCTTCAATCGTCGATCTCAACGCACTCAGTTCAGACCATCCTCTGCAATGCCAAAATGATTACCAGTTTGCAAAGTACCGTCGTTCATTCTAGTCGAACCCTCAGCCGCTTAAATTCGGCTGCATTCTCTTTGATCGCAATTTCTACCGGCAAACGCTCCATGCTGCTGGCTCCGAAGAAACCATGCACTCCCTTGGTGCGTGACAGGACAAATTCTGCATCCGAGGGTCGCGCGATCGGTCCGCCGTGACAAAGCACCAGAATCTCCGGATTGATCTGATGAGCAGCATCTCGAATATCTTGGACGAATTTCACACAATCTTCAAGCGACCGGCCGGATCTTGCGCCGATGTCACCGGAGGTGGTCAGTCCAGCGTGAGCGACGACCATGTCCGCGCCAGCTTGGGCCATTGCAATTGCATCATCAGGAGTGAAGACGTAAGGGGTGGTGAAGAGGTTAAGCTCATGGGCGATCTTGATCATCTCAACTTCTCGATCATAGCCCATCTCTGTCTCCTCCAGGTTTTGACGGAATTGTCCATCAATGAGACCAACAGTCGGGAAGTTCTGCACACCAACGAAGCCGATTCTTTTCAATTCGGAGAGAAAGGTGCGCATCTCTCGGAAGGGGTCAGTTCCACAGACGCCGGCCAGTACAGGCGTGTTCTTCACCACGGGCAAGACCTCGGCGGCCTGGTCTGCTGTCAGTTTCGGGTGTGATGAGATGGAGGGCATCCAAAGGGGCAAAGGAGCGTCTGTACACTGACCATCTCCACTACCACCTGGTTTGCATCCGAATAGGGCATCAATCCAGCTAGAGACCCGCGACCGGCCATACGGAAACGTCCTGAATTGTAGACGAGAATGAGGTCACAGCCGCCATTCTCGACTGATTTGGCTGAGAGACCAGTGCCTAGGAGATAATGCGTGAGACGAGCTCGTTCAATGCCCTCGTAGATTTCTGGCTGGCAGGCAATAGTGTACGTACCAGCTCCAGCGCCGACAATGATCCAGCCCTGTGCGACTGTCTTGACAAGTCTGGCGAGGACTTCCTCACGAGTTGTGGGTCGTGGCATATTCAAACGTTTTTCAGCCTTCAGGTTCTTGATCTGAGAGCGGATGAAGAACGGAGCTGATTCAACATATGTCGAACAGATCGTTCGTCTCGTAGATCAGGCTGGGCGCGTACTTTGGGACATGCATCGCCTTGGACTGCCCAGCTTGCCCCGCTTTCACGGCCCCCCGGATGACCTCATCTGCATTTCTTCACTTAATCAATCGTCGATCAATGCTCTCAAGCAAAAACCCGAACATTTCCATTCCACCAAGCCTGGGTTGTCCGCATATGAAATAACCTAGCTTCATCGAGTCAAATGAGATTTAGTTCAATTCCATGCACCATGTGAGATCGTACCGAACAACCCGCCGCTGGAGGACGAAGTGATGTTTTGAGCGGGAGGATCCATGTTTATAGTTCGGGCCGTACGTTTACCTCAGCTAGGTATGCAAAGAGCTCATAACTACTGGACATGTAAGCGAACGGGTACGACGAGAGTCAGATAGTTGTCAAAATCGTGAGCATGCGGTCTAGCCATGTGGCACTTGCCCTTGACCGCCATGGAATCTGTCAGATACTTCCTACTCCTAGTACCTAAGGTCGTGCGAGAAGTGCCCGAAACCTCCAGCACAACCTGCTTCAACATCTTTATGATCCGCTGGTCTGCTGGCAAGAGCCCTTCCACCTAGATTTGATCCCACTGGAGTGAATCTGGCCGAGACTCGTTTGACATATGGGGAGATGTCTTCCACGCATGATGTGGCGATTATTCCTCTACATCTGCCCGTCGATATACTGATGTTCTCGATGATAATTTAGCTCCATGACCGAGAGCGGACGGCATTCCGATGGGAGCGGGGCGTTAGCCAACTCAAAGGAGAAGACTAAGTGAAGATTCACGCAAAGAATGGTCAATGAATGCATGGGACTCATGTCTGCATCTAGTATGTGACTCTGCCGGTGCCATGGTAAAATACTAGTAGCTTAACTAGAGCCTCCATCCCTTCCTCCTCGTGGCTCGCTCCGGTTTTGTATAGCAACCTGACACTCCAATTATTGATCGAATGGCTGATAGGAGCCACCTGCGATCATCCAGCTCTTCTGGTGGGAAACCCTGTCTTTACGCACTAGGGTTCGTAACCTTTCCATTCACGAGTTTTAAAATTCTTTTCTGGATGCAATTTGGGAAGCCCATGTATTTTTGATTGTATGGTATGGTATCGCATGGATCAAAATAAAAGTTGGCCAGCTACAGTAGTGCTCATCTAGATATGAAATCAACCCTTTTATATTATTATCGTATGATCCGCGTATGATCAAAGAGAAATTTGAGTATTTTGTAGCTTGCAAGATATAATTTTAGTGCGGATCTGGCTACGATACCGGCTGCGATACTGGCTGGCTTGTTGATGCCTTACATGCCTGGAAATTCTTTTCCATTCACTCAAAAATTCCATTCATCGGATTCCATTCAAACAAAAGATTCTCTTCAAATTTTTGAGATCCCTATTACGTACTGATTCATTCGTGGGAGGACGCTCGGCCTTCGCCCACATGGTTCAATCATCTACTCGTACAAGTATTCGACGTGAGCACGCCATCATCTACATGTGTGAGCGAGGGTCGTAGCTCGCACGATAGTTGATCCCCTGCAAGTCCTGTTTCTGCTCATCAATTAGAGACCAGTACCTACTTTGGTGTTGAGGTCGACCTGCACTATTGATGGAATGAGCAGCTTACCCGATCACCGAGTATATGAGTCTATCTAGCTAATTACATGATGCAGAATAACTAACTTGTAGTTAAGTTCTCACGATGACTAAAACGGTCGTATAGGGTGGACGGGAAGATGTGGGCGTGTGGAGCAAAAGTTTAGCACCCTTCCACTTATTCTCTTTTCCACGAGACTCCCACTTCACCAGGTATACGCAATACATACCCTGCAAGTCTGCAACAAGACACAGAGTAAGAGACTAGGAGTGGATTTTAAGAACTAAGAACAACTGATTCACTTCCACAACACTATACGCATTAAATTTGGCTTTCTGTCGGTCATCTTCCGAAATTTGGGACAATTAAACTTCCACGGACCCTTTTGAACGGGTTATACGCCCGTTCTGTCAAAGGCTACTTGATCACATTGGCTCGAAATTGAAAGAATGGAATTCCCAAAATTAAAGGGCAAAGTCGATGTACCGAGGAATACCCGCGCCACTCACGCTGGGCTTGAAGTTCATCATGCATAATGGATGATTTATGGAACCCCGTCAAACTTGTACCATTCTCCAGCCTGAAATCAATAAACCTTTTGATATTGTTAGAATCTATATCCGAGCTACGGATAGTCAACCTTGGCAGACCACGGACCCGACTTCATTTAATTCGGTCGTTTATTGATACCGGCAGGGCTTTTGGTTTTCGGGCCGAAGCCCATTTTTAGAACCAATCTTTCTTCAGGGACATTGTTGATTTTCATCTGCGCTATGGACTTTCAGCTTTTTTTTTTCTCTCTTTTTTTTTCTCAAGAAATGGTCACCAGCAAGAGAGGAACGCATCTCGAGAATTTTTTCGACTCATGTGTGACGAAATTGGCGTTGTTGCGTTAATAAATACGGCAAGCGGTTCTCCAAGGCAAAGGGTGGATGCTTGTCGGGGTTCGGAGTGCAAACCGACAGCCTGTACACTGTTAGTGCTGTACACTTGTACAGTACAACTACACCATTGACTCCCGTAGTTTACTTTGCTACACTGCAGTAAATTTACTCCCATTATTCCCAGCTACCGGTACAGTTCAACTAAAAAACCAAGCAACATGGCCCCAGCACTAACTGCCTCGATGATAGGTCCTGTATATCTGCACTCTCGGTCTCCGTGTTAATTCGATGAACATTTGCAAACGACCTAAGCCAGGATGCCAGAGCCCCAGATTGAACTACAGGTATTCTTGTGCACCGCGATCGGCCGTCTTACCAATTGCCACCGAAGAAAAGAATTGTGTGGAGCCGACCCTAGCTCGGGAGAACAGCGGACAGCCCACTCAACCCAGTATGATGGGTGGTGATTTGCTTATCTTCAAATGACGGGACACGATCATGCAGAAAGTCACGGCCGGCGGATGAAGTCTCGGGGGAGATCAGCCCAGATTTTGCTCTGTGGGATCTGCCGGTAAGATTGAGGATCCGCGATTCCCAATTCTCTTCGTACGAAAGGGCCTAGGAGCTAGGACCGATTCCGAATGACACAGTTACCACCTGGCTGGAGTCACACGCTTACATATAGCCGTCAATCGGGATGTGGTCGAGGTTCTGTGATGAATGCAAACACCCCAGGGTGCAGAAGTTTTTTTTTTTTGATCTATAGAACACACTTCAACGACTACCTAGATAGTACAGGTGTGTATACCCTTATCAGCCGCTGCACTGAGTGACCTGGATCCATGGCTTGACTATAGATAGTAGAATGATCTCAAATTTCCCCATAAATTGCCATGAGGTTGGTGATCAGCATCATGAAGCAGCACTCGAACCTTGAATATTGAGCTAGAGTGGCCAGGGGCAAACCTTCGGCTAGCCGATGTGAATAAAGTTTCTCATCTTGCTCTCGAACTTGGTCAGGAATACTACCCATAGTCGGTCCAGTCAGCCAGGGCGGGATTTAATAGCCGGGACGTCATGAATGGGTGCTCCTGGATCATTATCCATCTCTCATAACATTTCCCTCGCGGATGTCTCGGCTATACATAAATGCTCTAGCAGTGATGATACTATCATGATATGATGATAGTGATACTACTACCTCTGTTACGATGATTTAGATTCAAGCTTTTCCACCTGGAGCGTATACTGCGATTTCTACCTCCGCATTGAGTATACTTATTGCTGAGGGCGACGATGAAGGATAAGAAGGCCGTGAGGTATCTCTGCGGACAACTTTCACAAGTAAGGTAAGATGTCCTTTACGACTCATGTGGAACTTTGACCGTGGGGCCCGTCATGTGCGAAGCTGTTGCTGGGCACTGGGCAGTGGGTACGGCTGAATACGCAACACGCTGATACGGTCTCATCCTAAGGATGGCTCCGAAGGATCCGAAGAACGACTGGGGAACAAGGCTATCGCATTGCCAATGAGCTTTGGGACCCATCGAACAAACGAACAAGTTGATTCACACTGGAACAGTGGAATCAATAATTTACACGGACAGCCCTCAGCCTTGAGAAGTTGAGCAGAGGGTGGGACGGAGCCACGAGCGTGGAGTCTGGAAAATCACGGACGACGCTCTTGGTTATCTCCGGCGCCGACCGCGGGGGCGATGACCGATGAAATCACGGAAGTTCCTTCAACTTGTTGGTCCGGGATCATCCATCCAATAGTGGCAAAGTCCCTTCTCTTGCGGATATCAAATTACATACTTTATGTATTGTAGATGCCTGTAGATGAGGCTTGTCTAGGACACTAATTGGTGGGATAAATGTATGTCTGCCGACCGTTTCGAAGCCTCTGCGGCAACTTGTAATCGTAATTGTAAACGGACAGATGAGAAAATCATTCCAGTCATGCAATTTACGAACCCTTTTCCAAACCAATTCATAAGCCTTTCTATTTGAGACAATCGCTATATTCGACATCTTTACAGACTACAGACAACGGCTGCCTTGCTTCCATGCGACACTAGGGGACAGCAATTTTACGCAAGAAGAGATTGAAAAAAAAATGAAACTAAAAAAACTAAAATCAAAATGATGTGGTCCGCCCTTCGGCGAACGGGTCATGCTTGCCGTGATGTTGCACTCTAACGCACTTGATTGCATAGTAGCGCCAAAAGGCCGCGTGGGCAGGCTGAGAGAAGCCGCAGCCACAATTGTCCTAAGCCCGCCGGACTAAGCGGAATTTGTCTCTAGCGGGATCCGGCACTTGAGGCTGCCTAGAAGCTAATCTCCTTTTGTAGTAAGCGCTGGGCTTTCCTGCAGATGGTCAGGACTCAGGAGTCTCGGGACATGGATGATCATGGCGACGATGTTCGTGCATTACGGGGCGATGTAAATTACGATACATCATAGAACGCCGGGTCCCGGCTCATCGACAATGTGAATCATGATGATCATCTCCAGAAAGCACGGTAATGATCGTGTGTATTATATCGTCCGGCGTATGACTAGGAAGTATGAACTCATCAAGTTGTGAACGATGAACCATGGGCATGGAGCCTTGCCCAGATGGCACCGTACCAGGGATTCGCTGGGGCCTTACTGAAGAACGGCAATGAATTAATCCGAGTCAGGATCTGAAGATTGGAGGAAAGCCAAATCTCGGCTTACCCGAGCCATCTCGGGGAAACTGCAACCCGAGATGATCTTGGAGCGGAGTGCGTCCGTACGTGATGTAGCATCACAACAATTCCGCAGGGTCGTT